AGGAAATGAGGAGAAATGAAAATTGTAGCGAAAAGAAACGCTGCATTCTCCATTACCTTCTACCTCAGAAATAGATACAGAAGTCACATTCAGTATATGCTCAAAGATGGCAGGTCACCGAAGAGAAGGAAGATGATTCCACGTGCTCTATTTAACCCAGAAGTGACTGTAATGAAACATCGCTGCAACATATCCGATCAGACCTCTATGGGTTTTTCAGGAGCCTTGGCAAAAGCATCGAGGTAGAAGCTGAAAGAGATGTCATAATGAACTTCGCAAGAGCTGAGACTCAGAAGAATCAAACAAGGAATCCTTCCTAAAGAAAAACAAGACCCTAAATCACCCTCCCAAAACCTCGTTCCTTTTAAACTGGAAATCGAAGTTTCTCTCAAAATGTGTCCAAGTTCAAAAAGATAAGCAAGACTGCCATTTTGGGTTACAGGAGGCAACTAAGATATTCTTTTCAGTGTCCCCAAAATTGCAGCTGTACCGGCTTTAGCCACTCGAATGTTAGCTTTTCTGTTCTTAAGGAGCGGAACCTCAGAGATCTTGTTCGAGGCTCTTGGTGTTCGACACCACCACTACCCCCTGACACTATTTTGTTCTAGGGATCTTGCAGGAAACCACAAGGACCTGTCAATCAGGAGATTATTTAAATTTTCTGCCTTCACCAAGTATTGGAAGGGGATCTTTCTGTTGTCTTCAAAAAGTAATATGGACAATTCGTTGGCTTCCTTGTTCACACGGTTCAAAGTGATGTGCAAAATCATTGATGCATCCCCCTGGAAGATAACAGATGACGGTGAGGATCTCGTAAAAGAGTTCTCTGATCCTTTGACAGCATTCAAATGGCACAGAGAGATCCTGTTGGAGGCAATCGAGTCGAGCGCTCACTCCAGGGACGATTATAAGGTGGGTGGGGGGGGGGATTCTAGAGGGAAACGTGAATGTCAGAGCATCTGGAGCCTTCCATCAAACCAGTTGAATGGCTAAGGCCACTTATGATTCTGATGAAAACCTTTTTGACTTTTCTCTTCTACACCAGGAACTGTCGTGAAGCAGCGATCGTATGATGCGCCTCAATAAATAAAGTAAACTTCAAGACGGATCGTGTTAACTAAAATTCAAATTCTCAGTTTCGTGAAAACAGCTCTGAAAACTTTCAAACGCAACCAGAGATAGGTGTCCGAGCAACTGCTTGGTCTCGCGTTTTTCAGTGACAAGACTGGAGATAAGGAGAAGGTTGCAGTGATGGAGAACATCAAGAAGAGAGAGCGGAAGGACCTGAAGAGGCCTTGATGACAAGAGATTCTCCTTTCAGAATTCACTTAAAGACTTCGAAATATCCAAAACTGCGTAATTCTCCCGACTGAGGGGTCAGGGATTTGATTCCTTTCTCAGGGAGGTCATCGTAATAATAATAATAAAAATAATAATAATAATAATAATAATAATGATAATAATATTTATTTGTACAATTACATGATACAACTTATACAGACCTAGCTGACATCAGTGACATAGTATATAGCAAGTCCGTAGTTATGCAGAGTATTTTGGGTAACTTAGGATGCAATGCGAAAACAGTCGACTAACACCCAGGTACCTACTTAGGATACGACCCACACCAGTTGGCTAACACCCGGGTACCTACTTACTGCTAGGTGAGCAGGGACACCAGGTGTCTTAAGAAAACAGGCCCCAATGTTTCCATCCGTACCGGGGATCGAACCACAGACAGCAATGTATGAGCTGAGTGAGTTACCAACCGAGCTACGGGACACTTTCTTGGAATGCAGGTAAAAACCTACCAATGTTTCATGATCTCCGTCGTTTCGTGGAAATTTGTGAACGACAGTCTCGAAAGAGATTTTGCTCTGATCTCAAAATTCATCTTATCCATTACCAAGGATAAGACCCGGAAGCAGTACTTCCTGAGAGTTGTAGCCCAGCACAGGAGGGATCTACCCTCCATGTTGGAAGCTGCAGCCAAGACGTAACGTAATTTAGACTGTGGAAATTCTATACATTCGTGTTTTTTTCCGTGATGATCGGAAAGTTGAATTTACCGAACCCTAAATGTGAAGTTTGGGAACTAAATTTGCATCTTAAGTTATGTCTGAGGGAAAGATAATAGTCGAAATGTATCTGAATTAAAACCTAACTCTAATTTAAATTTTCGAATCCTGTGTGTATATATATTTGTTATAATAAGGTTAGGTAAGTTTTCTAAGATTCTTTTGGTGTAAAATTATAAATTTTTACATTGACATTAATGAAAAAAATATGTCTTTAAACGTACAAGAGAAAATTTTAGAAAGGACTTAATTTTAAATGAGTTCTTGCTAATTGACCAGTTTTATCTATTCGGCACGACATATATTTATATATATGTATATATATATATATATATATAATATATATATATATATATATATATATTATATATATATATATATATATATATATATATATATATATATATATATATATACATTATATATATAATATATATAATATATATATATATATTACAAATATATATATATATATAATTATATATATATATATATATATATATTTATATATATAATTATATATATAATATATAATATATATATATATATATATGATATCATTAAGGGATTCCCAAAAGAAGTTTAGGGTTTCGGAGGGCTTTAGCTAATGAATTGGACAGTTATCTACACGCTAAGAAATATTTTAAAGATCTGTCAATCATTAATGTAAATCACATCGTTGAAGAAGGATACACGAAGATCACAGTTAATAGCTTCAAATAACTTCCATTATATTACAATGCTGCCTCATCGAATATTTAGACAATCTTCAGTCATTGAAGATTACCACGAAGTAGGTAGGATAAGGCTCGCACAGTAGTCTTCAGTTTATCTCACACTAGCCAACAGCCCACTTTCTCTTTTTTTCAGATAGAAGAACCCGATTGTAATGGATGTTTTATGACAGCGAATAGTTTCACGCACGACTTAAACCACACCAACGGTGGACCTTTGAAACAACGATGAACTTAGGAACACACTTGAACACTACTCTCTGCACACATATTCGAAAAGCCTCTCCCGGGGATCTGTCGAGGCGACTTGAGGTCTAGGATCTGTTGGGATCGGTTCTGGCAGCGAGGAGAATGGTGTGTGTCTGGAAGTGAACGTCGTGGTTAGAAGAGGAAGACATATACAAGACATTAAGGGAAAAAGTAGCCACTAGGAGAGAGAAAGCGGCCGAGAATGGAGACACACACACTACTTAGAAAGTAGTCGTTTGCCAGCTGTTAGTGAGGGCTAGTTGACGCCCTAGTGAAGAAGTGTTCCGGAGGTATAAACGATAAACTAGCGAGGAAAAAAACTAAAAACTAAAAGGTAAAAGGCTAAAACAGGAGGAAGGTGCGATCACACGCAAAAGAGGACTTGGAAGATAAGACAAAAGTTTGAGAGTTTGGCTCATAGGACACACGCACACGCACACGCACGCCACGCACACACACACACACACACACGCACACACACACACACCACACACACACACACACACACACACACACACACACACACACACACACATACACACACGTACGTACGTCCGTACGTATACACTTCCATATACAAGCATCTTACTTCACTCATCTACACTTGAGTGCATCTGAAAGACACCCACGGTATATACTTTCACGTGTAATATATCCTCCGTACATACTTTCACTTGAATTATATCCTCAGTATATACGCTCACTTGTATATATCCTCAGGTATTTCATTTGTATATATAGTCACTCTTCATCTTCACTCATTCTCCTTTTGTAAATAAAAATCATCTTTAAAGTGTGATATATATATTTGGATTATGAAAAACTAAACTATGAAACAGATCAGTTAATAGTTCCACTTAGAAGTCACGATTATAGAAGTTACAGTTACAAAAGTCACAAATATAGAAGTCACAATTCAACCTTGGATATAGTTTTCATAACAATGGTTGCATGTGCTAAAAACATCCAACTCGCAGACTTCCTGCGAATTTAAAACAAAAAAAAAAAAACCTTGAGCAGAGATTAAGTGTGGTGAAGCACAGTAGCTGGTGGTATAACAGCTGAAGATATACACCACATTTTCTTAACCAAGCCCTGTAAACCTCCTTCCCTGCCTTGGAATGTCTTAAACAATGCCTTATCTTCCGCCTTGAGATTCTGATGGTTGCTGAGTGACCAACTACATGTTTCTTTTATAATTAATCAGTCACTAAGCTTTCTACTTGAAGGTAATTTAGTCAATAAAGTTATCAAAAGTGTTTTGGTCACAGAGCCGCCACACTGAAATTCTTTTAGTTATTCTGTTTCCCCAAAGTCATCCCATTGGCAATTGAGTTTCCCGTGTGGCATTCCATTGCAGCTTTGTTAACTCACGTGGGTTTCCATTATCCGCTGGTTTATCCCGCGTGGGATTCCACTGCTGACTTGGTTAACCCACTTGGAATACCACTGTTTCCTGGGTTTCTAAAACGTGCATTTTCCAGAGTGATGAATCTCAATACCCTTGCAAAAGCCATTCGCTTGCTTGCCCTCTCCAGCACACAAGCATTATGGTAGCCTCACGTTCAACACCATCACCACCACCACCACTACCATACAAACCGCCACCACTACTACGAACACTCCCACAAACACCAACAGCGCTACCAACTACCAACCAGAGCGCCGCATCCCCAACGAACGCACTACCACAAATCACCACCACCCCATCACCCACCACCACCACCTCGATCCCGCACACCACCTTCATCATCCCCTTAAAAAAAAAAAATTCCGCAACTAACTTCCCTTTAAACCACCCCTGATCACACCACACAAGCACAAACTCACACCCTTAACCCCTCTCTCAGTAACCACCCTGAGTGTTTTTGGAGTGAAAGTGAAAATAAAAACATTAAAATCAGGCTATGAAAAAGGTATGCGTCGTCTTTCACCTTAGGGCCCCTTGCATGGAGTACCACACGACAAGGAAGTCTTCCTCCTGCTACGAGCTACACGTCATGTTTCGTGAGTACTCAACCCCTCATCTCTTTCGTGTCTTCTTCTTCACTTCCTCATCTTCCACAGAAGAACTTTATGTAGATTTGGAATCTGCGTGCGTGAGTAGCACATTGCTCTCTTTATTTGCATTGTTTTGTGTGCGAGAGTAGAAATTTGTAGTTACAGGAGTAATGTTGTGTGTGTGTGTGTTGTGTGTTGGTGTGTGTGTGTACTCACCAATATGCTCATTACATGTATGTGGTTGCAGTGGTCGATTTACAGCTTTTGGTCCGGTCTCTTCGCTGTGTGTGTGTGTGTGTGCGTGCGTGCGTGTGTGTGTGTGTGTGTGTGTGTGTGTGTGTGTGTGTGTGTGTGTGTGTGTGTGTGTGTGTGTGCGTGTGTGAAAATTATTGAGGGATAACGACTTTTCTTGTAGAGACTGCTGGTGTTGGGCTAATCACGTAAGATTCAGTTTTTATAAATTTCTCATAGTTACCCTCAGACTTTTGCTACAGTTGTTGCACTCTGACCTTCCTGCAACTCAGTTCTTCCTCTAATCTTCCTGCAACTCAGTTCTTCCTCTAATCTTCCTGCAACTCAGTTCTTCCTCTAATCCTCCTGCAACTCAGTTCTTCCTCTAATCCTCGTGCAACTCAATTCTTCCTCTACTCCTCCTGCAACTCAACTCTCGCCTCAGATCCTGTTTGTAAATACGAGCTTCGTGTTATGTGCTTAAACATCTGCATGAGTCTTGAATAAGACTCATGTAGATGTTTAGTCACCTTCAAGTGTTTGTCCTATTTTCCCTCTTCCTGAGTATGTCTCCTTGCCCTACCTACTAAGTCTGTCGTCTTATCCACCTTATTGAGTGTGTCCTCTTGTCCTGCCTACTGAGTGTGTCCTCTTGTCCTTCCTACTGAGTGTGTCCTCTTGTCCTGCCTACTGAGTGTGTCGTCTTGTCCTATTTACTGTGTCCTCTTGTCCTGTCTACTAAGAGTGTCCTCTTCTCCAGCCTGCTGAGTGTGTTCTCTCCTCTTGCTAACTGAGTGAGTCCTCATGTCCTGTCTACTGAGTGCATCCTCTCCTCCTGCCTACTGAGTATGTCCTTCTGTCCTGTCTACTGAGTGTGTCCTCTTGTCCTGTCTACTGAGTGTGTCCTCTTGTCCTGACTACTGAGTGTGTCCTCTCCTCATGCCTACTGAGTGTGTCCTCTTGTCCTGTCTACTGAGAGTGTCCTCTTGTCCAGACTACTGAGTGTGTCCTCTTCTCCAGCCTACTTAGTGCGTTCTCTCCTTCTGCCTACTGAGAGTGTCCTCTTGTCCTGCCTACTGAGTGTGTCCTCTTGTCCTGCCTACTGAGTGTGTTCTCTTGTCCAGTCTACTGAGTGTGTCCTCTTGACCAGCCTACTGAGTGTGTACGCTTGACCTGTCTACTGAGTGTGTCCTCTCCCCCTGCCTACTGAGAGTGTCCTCTTGTCCAGCCTAATGAGTGTGTCCTCTTGACCAGCCTACTGAGTGTGTAGGCTTGTCCTGTCTACCGAGTGTGTCCTTTTGTTCTGCGTACTGAGTGTGTCCTCTTGTCCTGTTACTGAGTGTCCTTTTGTCCTGCCTACTGAGTGTGTCCTCTTGACCTGCCTATTGAGTGTGTCCTCTTGACCAGCCTACTGAGTGTGTACTCTCATCCTGTCTACTGAATGTGTCCTTTTGTCCTGTCTACTGAGTGTGTCCTATTGTCCTGCCTACCGAGTGCGTCCTCTTGTCCTGCCTACTGAGTGTGTCCTCTTGTCCAGCCTACTGAGTGTGTCCTCTTGTCCTGTCTACTGAGTGTGTCCTCTTTTCCTGCCTACTGAGTGTGTCCTCTTGTCCTGTCTACTGAATGCATCCTCTTGTCCTGTCTACTGAGTGTTTCGTCTTGTCCACCCTACTGAGTGTGCCATCTTATCCTGTCTACTGAGTGTGTTGTCTTGTCCTGTCTACTGAGAGTGTCCTCTTGTTCAGCCTACTGAGCGTACTGAGTGTGTCCTCTTGTCCTGCCTACTAAATGTGTCCTCTTATCCTGCCTACTGAATGTGTCCTCTTATCCTGCGTACTGAGTGTGTCCTCTTGTCCTGTCTACTGAGTGTGTCCTCTTGTCATGTTTACTGAGTGTGTCCTCTTGTCCTGCCTACGGAGTGTGTCCTCTTGTCCTGTTTACTGAGTGTGTCCTTTTATCATGCGTACTAAGTGTGTCCTCTTGTCCTGCCTACTGAGCGTACTGAGTATGTCCTAATGTCGTGTCTTCTAGGTATGTCCTCATATCCTGCCTACTGAGTGTGTCCTCTTATCCTGCGTATTGAGTGTGTCCTCTTGTCCTGCGTACTGAGTGTATCCTCTTGTCCTGTCTACTGAGTGTGTCCTCTAGTCCTGTTTACTGAATGTGTCCTCTTGTCCTGTCTACTGAGTGTGACTTCTTGTCCTCCCTACTATGTCTTCTTCCCCTCCCTACTGAGAGTGTCTTCTTCCCATCCCTACTGAGAGTGTCTTCTTCCCCTCCCTCTTGAGAGTGTCTTCTCGTCCTCCCTAATGAGAGTGTCTTCTTGTTCTCCATACTGAGAGTGTCTTCTTGTCCTCCCTACTGTGAGTGTGTTCTTGCCCTCTCTACTGTATCTTCTTGTCCTCCCTACTGAGAGTGTTTTGTTGTCCTCCCTACTGAGAGTGTCTTGTTGTCCTCCCTACTGAGAGTGTCTTCTTGTCCTCCCTACTGAGAGTGTCTTCTTGTCCTCCCTACTGTGAGTGTGTTCTTGCCCTCTCTACTGTGTCTTCTTGTCCTCCCTACTGAGAGTGTCTTGTTGTCCTCCCTACTGAGAGTGTCTTCTTGTCCTCCCTACTGAGAGTGTCTTCTTGTCTTCCCTACTGAGAGTGTCTTCTTGTCCTCCCTACTGAGAGTGTCTTCCTGTCTTCATACTGAGAGTGTCTTCTTGTCCTCTCTACTGAGAGTGTCTTCTTGTCCTCTCTACTAAGAGTGTCTTCTTGTCCTCTCTACTGAGAGTGTCTTCTTGTCTTCTCTACTAAGAGTGTCTTCTTGTCCCTCTACTGAAGTGTCTTCTTGTCTTCCTACTGAGAGTGTCTTCTTGTCCTCCCTACTGAGTGTCTTCTTGTCTTCCCTACTGAGAGTGTCTTGTTGTCCCCCCTACTGAGAGTGTCTTCCTTGTCTTCCTACCGAGAATGTCTTCTTGTCCTCTCTACTGAGAGTGTCTTCTTGTCCTCTCTACTAAGAGTGTCTTCTTGTCATCTCTACTGAGAGTGTCTTCTTGTCCTCCCTACTGAGGTAGTTGTCCTTGTCTTCCTTACTGAGAGTATCTTTCTTGTCCTCCCTACTGAGAGTGTCTTCTTGTCCTCCCTACTGAGAGTGCCTTCTTGTCTTCCCTACTGAGAGTGTTCTTCTTGTCCTCCTACTGAGAGTGTCTTCTTGTCCTCCCTACTGAGAGTGTCTTGTTGTCCTCCCTACTGAGAGTGTCTTCTTGTCTTCCCTACTGAGAGTGTCTTCTTGTCCTCCCTACTGAGAGTGTCTTGTTGTCCTCCCTACTGAGAGTGTCTTCTTGTCCTCCCTACTGAGAGTGTCTTGTTGTCCTCCCTACTGAAAGAGTCTTCTTGTCCTCCCTACTGTGAGTGTGTTCTTGCCCTCTCTACTGTGTCTTCTTGTCCTCCCTACTGAGAGTGTCTTGTTGTCCTCCCTACTGAGAGTGTCTTCTTGTCCTCCCTACTGAGAGTGTCTTGTTGTCCTCCCTACTGAGAGTGTCTTCTTGTCCTCCCTACTGAGAGTGTCTTCTTGTCCTCCCTACTGAGAGTGTCTTCTTGTACTCCCTACTGAGAGTGTCTTCTTGTCTTCCCTACTGAGAGTGTCTTCTTGTCCTCCCTACTGAGAGTGTCTTCCTGTCTTCCTACTGAGAGTGTCTTCTTGTCCTCTCTACTGAGAGTGTCTTCTTGTCCTCTCTACTAAGAGTGTCTTCTTGTCCTCTCTACTGAGAGTGTCTTCTTGTCTTCTCTACTAAGAGTGTCTTCTTGTCCTCTCTACTGAGAGTGTCTTCTTGTCTTCCCTACTGAGAGTGTCTTCTTGTCCTCCCTACTGAGAGTGTCTTCTTGTCTTCCCTACTGAGAGTGTCTTCTTGTCCTCCCTACTGAGAGTGTCTTCTTGTCTTCCCTACTGAGAGTGTCTTCTTGTCCTCCCTACTGAGAGTGTCTTCCTGTCTTCCTACCGAGAATGTCTTCTTGTCCTCTCTACTGAGAGTGTCTTCTTGTCTTCCCTACTGAGAGTGTCTTCTTGTCCTCCCTACTGAGAGTGTCTTCTTGTCTTCCCTACTGAGAGTGTCTTCTTGTCTTCCCTACTGAGAGTGTCTTCTTGTCCTCCCTACTGAGAGTGTCTTCCTGTCTTCCTACCGAGAGTGTCTTCTTGTCCTCTCTACTAAGAGTGTCTTCTTGTCATCTCTACTGAGAGTGTCTTCTTGTCCTCTCTACTAAGAGTGTCTTCTTGTCATCTCTACTGAGAGTGTCTTCTTGTCCTCCCTACTGAGAGTGTCTTCTTGTCTTCCCTACTGAGAGTGTCTTCTTGTCCTCCCTACTGAGAGTGTCTTCTTGTCCTCCCTACTGAGAGTATCTTCTTGTCCTCCCTACTGAGAGTGTCTTCTTGTCCTCCCTACTGAGAGTGTCTTTTTGTCCTCCCTACTGAGAGTATCTTCTTGTCCTCCCTACTGAGAGTGTCTTCTTGTCCTCCCTACTGAGAGTGTCTTCTTGTCTTCCCTACTGAGAGTGTCTTCTTGTCCTCCCTACTGAGAGTGTCTTCTTGTCCTCCCTACTGAGAGTGTCTTCTTGTCTTCCCTACTGAGAGTGTCTTCTTGTCCTCCCTACTGAGTGTCTTCTTGTCCTCCCTACTGAGAGTGTCTTCTTGTCTTCCCTACTGAGAGTGTCTTCTTGTCTTCCCTACTGAGAGTGTCTTCTTGTCCTCCCTACTGAGAGTATCTTCTTGTCCTCCCTACTGAGAGTGTCTTCTTG